CAGGCACAGCACCCAGGCTCTGAGTTCAAGTCCCAGAACCAGCATATACAAAGAAAGAAAGCAGAAGGTCCTGAATTTAAAACTCAAGTGCCATCAACACCAAAACCACACTTATTCAATCTTGTGTCTACCCAGTTTGAGGGTTCACAACCCAGAAGGGCAGAAAAGATACCAAGCGCCTGAAATGTCATAGCCACACTGACTACCAAAACCTTTACAAATGTCATGTAACACTGCAGCCACCGAACAAGGTAGGTCCAGAGATGAACCCACTCAACAGAGAGAAGACTGAATCCCAGAGTCAGCCAGCTCTGTGCCAAAGCCAGCAAGTGGCAGAACCAAGATTCAAACTGACAGTCAGGTTCCAGAGTCTGCACTCCTGTCCCCCAACAAGTAACAGGCATGTAATGCTGGCCATAGGCAGAAGAGCAAGGTCACTAAGGCAGAGAGCTAGGCCTAGCAGACAGGTTGACTGAGATTGACCAGGACAGAGAATAACTCCTTTCAAACTACAACATCAGAGAAATAACACAGCAGCCTGGCATCAGGAGCTCATGTCTGTAATCCTAGCTACTCAAAAGGCTAAGATCTGAGGATCATGATTCAAAGCCAGCCTGGACAAGAAAATCCATGAGACTTTTATCTTCAATAAACCACCAGAAAACCAGAAGTGGAGCTGTGGCTCAAGTGGTAGAGCACTTGTCTTGAGCTGAAGAGCTCAGGGACCCAAAGTTCAAGCCCCATGACCAACAAAAAAAGAACACAGCTAGGAATAGTGGCGCCCACCTGTAATCCCAGCACTCGGGTGGCCATCTTCAAACTTACAGGATACATAGGAAGACTCTGTCTCCAAAAAAACCCAAAAAACAGGGAGGGAGGAAGGAGTCCGATTTGCAGATCCTGATGTAGCAATCCAATCACAACCACTTCCCAGCAGGACCTATACCTGTGGACCTCTTGCCTGAGCCACACCTCCACGCCCATGACAGAAAACAAGGTCTGTCCAGCGGGTGGAATACAACAAAGTCAAGAAAAAGATGAAGATCCCCATGTGGTGGCTGGGGGGGGGGAGCGAGGGGGGGGGGGGAAGATAAGGTGAAAAACAACGTGCCCAACCACAGGAGAGTACATCAGCATGTGGACACAGTGAAGACAGACCGGGTTCACACAGAGAACCTCTCAATGGTGTCGTCTGTCCTTGGGGAAGAGAGCTAGGGACACCAAAGGTGCCAGAGAGGGGACATTGTGTCTCTGGAATTTGAAATTTGTCCCATGGGTATGTATCATTTAAGGAAAAGGGAAAAAAAGGAGGAAGGGAAAGGAGGGAGGGAGAAGGAGAGAGAGGGAGGGAGAGAGAGGGGGGGAGGGAGAGGGAAGAGAGAGAGAGAGAGAGAGAGAGACACTTCTTCCCTGGTGGCAGCTGAGGCCACCCAGACAGAACTAATCAAACCCTGCAGCAGCTAATTCAGGGTTCCTGCTGGGCTGAGTCCTAATTTCCAGATGGATCCTCAGGGCCTGGGCACACAGTAGGCCCTCAGGAATTTTAACTGGGAACATTGCTTCCCCTGCCACCAACTCTACCACCACCACCACCCCCAACCGAAACAGACACCACTCAGAAATCTCTCCCTCTGGATGGGGAAAGTTGCATGTCACTGACACAAAGGCTCTAGTCAACGGGGACAAAACAGGAATGGGGGGTGCTGCAGGAAGAACTGGGGGACGCCCTGGAGACCATTCACCAAGCTCTGACATGGTGTGGCCCTGAGGGAGCAAACTCAGGCAAGAGAAAGCGGACAGACATGGCAATGCCAGGAGGGGGAAGAATGCTGTGTCTGCTCACAGGGAGGGTATACTTGTGGACACCTTTCAGGAGACCTCCCCCCAAAACAGCCAGGAGGAAGAGAACCAGGCTCTCATCCCATCCCAGGCCCTGGCCCCCAGAAAGGAGGAATGCCTTGTTCCCCTGTTTCCAATTAGCTCCTCCCCCCCCCCCCCCAGCAGCCTGGTGCATTCTTGAGACCAGAAGTCAAGACAGCCTGGTAGGTGGGGGTGGGGCTGGTTGGGGGGGGTGCCTGGGGAGGACTGGCAGCTGCTCCTGCACCCCAGGGCCTCCCCTCCTATCCGAAATGTCCCTCTCTGGACCTTCTGTAGTGTCAGACAGACTCCATATCCCACCCCAGCCCCTCCCCCACAAAAAGTTGGCCAAGGCCCCAGAGGCCTCTGGGAAGGAAGTCAGCTGTGGGCATCCTCCCCCTCCCCCTCTCCCCCTCCCCCCTACAGGGCAGCTCTAAGCTTCCCTTGCCTCCACCCTTCCCTTCTCACTCAACCTCCAGAGTCTCTTCCCCATGCCTGCTATCCTTGCAAGGAGCATCAGAGAGGGGACTCCCTTAAAGCCACAGGGATCCCCCAGCGCTGAGGGCAACTTGGCAGCTCCCCCTTTCTACCCCTGCAGCCTGGCCTGGAGTGGGTCCCCCACCAACAGCCATGGCCTCAGCTGGCAGAAAATGGATCACTAGCAACACCTGGCAGTGGATGTACTGGCTGGGGCCAGCTCTGTCCCCCCCCCACCCCCGCCCCTGTCAGCTCCAGTCCCCCCCTTCTCCCCTTACTTGAGGGGGGGGGGCAGTCTATGCCAGAGGCCTCACTGCTCACCCGAGCATCCACACCCACAGGCCTGTGTGCCAAATATAAATCACACATTTGGACAATGCTTTCCCACCTAGGGTCAGTTATCCCAACTCTAATTATTGTCATGTGTGCACGACACTGAGCCAAGAGGTGACCGGCCTGCTAGAGGGTTACAGGAGGTCGTGGCCTGGCCAGTCAGCTGGCATCCCAGGGCAGAATGACAGCAGGTCACAGGGTAGAGGATCAGGGACCCCAACAGGGCAGTCCCTACCCTTCCAGCTGTTCTTTATCCCTCCCTCCTTCCCTAAACCAGATCTCAGGAGGAAACATTCCCTGCTCCTTTAGGGGGAACCCAGGACCCCTGAAATCCAAAGGCCAAGAGTGTGCCACAAAGACATGAGGAAAGACTTCAGATTGGACTTTTCCCATGGCAGAGCCACGTAAACAAAACATGAGGCAAGCTCCTGAACCCCTCTGGGCCTCAGTGAGCCCGCCTGGAGAATGGGGACAATAACAGACCCGGGGTTGGTAGCACTCGACAACCCATAATGCTCTTCCCCTCCTCCCATAAAGAGCTGTGGTTATTTCCGGCTTCTGGGAGAGGGGGAAGGTCTGGGGAAAGGCAGGGGAGGTAACTCTGCCCCGGAAGTCCATGGGGGCAGAGGAAAGGGATGGTCCCTGAGAGACCTGTCTCCCATTTCTCCATCTGGGGCGTGTGTCACCCTTGACAGGGCCCCCTCCTCCCCCAGCCCCAGGTGCCGAGAGAGCATGAAAGCCAGAAAGCTAATCCTAAATCTCAGGCCTAGAGTCTGGGAGGGGGTGGGGGGGTAAAGGTGTCCCTAGGTTTTTATTGCAAGAAGGGGAGGAGGGTGGGGGGGGGGGTGGCTGGGCACCAACTGGTACCCACAGCCTGGGGGGGGATGTCAGAGCTGTCACCAAGACTCTCCCCCCTCCCCCAAGAGAGGTGACCCCGAGGCCTCTGACCCCCACTAGCCCCGAGGTTCAGCTGCTCAGAACCACAAAGCAAAACAAAGGCGCGCGGGGAGGAAGCGGCCACGGTGCCTTCCAGCCCCCGCCCGCCCGCCCGCGCCGCGGTCCTCCCTCCCGGCTGGCGGCCGACCAAGGCCCGGGCAGGGCCGGGCAGGGCCGGGCAGACCCTGGTTCCCTCGTCTCCCGGCCGCCGCCCGTGACAGGAGCCCGGGAAGCAGCCGAAGGGGGCAGCCAGGGATGGGAAAACCAGATGGCTCGTCCCTCCTCCTCCTCCTCCTCCGCCATCCCTCCCTCCCGCCCGCCCGCCCTCCCGCCGGTGCCCGTCGAGGGGCCCGGAGAGGCCCGGGCTCACCCCCGGGAAAGGGCTGCCTTTGTCTAAAGGTCACCACCCGAGCGCGGTGCCCGGGCTGGGCCTGGTGCCTCCCCTTCTCGGCCCGTCCGGGTAGAGATCGGGGGGGGGGGGCATGACAGGAGTTGGGACTCCCCCCCCTTTTCTCCCCTCCTGTAACGTTCGCCAGTTCTGGGGCCTGCCGGCTGGGGGTGTGGGGGGCGGGGGCCCACCCGGTCCCTGGCTCGGGGAGGTGGGGGGCAAGTTAACTCCGCTCATTGTTTGGGGGCGGCGGGGAGGGGGAGACCCCATCCAGCCCTCCCCAGCAGGCCGAGGTGCCCCGGCACCCCCACATTCCCCCTCCCCGATCCATGAGAGCGTTTTGGGGAGGGGGCGCAGGGGACGGGGAGAAACGGAGGGCTCGCTCGCCTCGGGCCGGGAAATAGCCACCGGCTGCCCCACTGCCCTCATCGGTTCCCCCAGACACACACACACACACACCCCGAAAGGCGGCGAGCGGGCGAGGGGCGGGGGTCCCCCGAGGCGGGGGGGGGGTCCCGCCCTTCCCCCCGTGGAACGTCGGGTCTCGCTTCTCCGCCGCTCCATTGTATCCGGGGCCGCCGGCGGGAGGGCCGGGGAGGCACCGGGAGCCGGGCTGGGGCAGGGGCCGCCGGTTGTGTGTGTGTGTGTGTGTGTGTGTGTGTGTGTGTGTGTAGGGAGAAAAGGGGGGGGTCCCCGAAAGATCGGGGTGACGACGGTGGCGGGAGAGAGCCGGGGTGGGGTGGGGTGAAGATGATGGTGGGCGCCGCCGAGCAAAAAAAAAAAAAAAAAAAAAGGAGAGCGGAGAGGCGGCGGGCGCTGCGCCCCGGTTGGGGGGCTGAGAGTGTGTGTCGGGGGGGGGGGCTCGGCCCCGGCTCCGGCTCCCCCCACACACACCCTCGCCGCCAACCCCCACTCCCCCCCTCGCTTTTGCGCCCTGTCACAGCCCCGACTCGCAGGTAGAGAGAGTTAAGAGATTTAAAGAGAAATTGCTACATTGTGAGAAACTCACCCTGATGTTTGAGCAGCCGTCGGCGCGGGGTCTCCGGGACGGCCCCGCACGGGCTGCACAGGGAGGACCCAGAAGGGGCCGGCCGGCCGGGCCGGTCAGCGCACTGCCTGATCGCATGGCGGCGGCGGCGGCTCCGCGGCGCCCGGGCCCGCCGCCACCCCGCGCTCGGCCCGCGCGCGCCCCGGGCCCGCGCCCGCTCCCCGGAGCGCCCTGAGGGTGTGCAAAAAATAAATAAATAAATAAATAAGATGATTTAAAAAAAAAAACTAAATGCAAAAGGAGGAAAAAAAAAAAAAAACCTTGCAGGTTTTGTGTCCCGCCCCCCCTCTTCCTCCTCCTCCTCCTCTTCCTCCTCCTCTTTTCCCTCCGCCCTCCACGGGGGCTGGGCTTAAGGAGGCCCCGCCTACACGCCTCAAAGAACCAATCATCACACCGCCAATCCGAGCGGCGGGATGGATAACGAATGGGAAGCTGCTCATGCCGGGGCTCCGCCCCCTCGCTCTTGCTCCGCCCAAGGCTTGCGGTGCGCCTGCCCCGGTTAGGGTGCAGTTTGTCGGCCGCCGCGAGCCGGGATTCGGGCGGCAGGAGGCGGGGGCTCGCTCAGACGCTTCCCTACCCCCCCCCACCATGGAGCCGGGCTTACCTGGGGAGGGGGCGCCTGTCTAGGGGCCGGTGGTTTGGCCGGAGGACCCTCCCAGGGCGAGCTCTGGAAGCCGGAGGTCATAGCAGAGTGGAGGATGGAGGATGGAGGCTGGAATTGTCCCGAGGTGGTGCCGCGCAGGAGCTCGGCGTCCGACCGACCGGGTGGAAGGCGACGGGGATTTTTTTTTTTTTTGGGGGGGGGGGTGACAGATCTGGGCCTGGGCTGTGGCTCGATCCCTCACCCCAGTCTGAGATTGCGGCTCGGCACAGCCTCGATGGATTTCCCCCCTTCCCACCCCTCCATCCCCCCGATGTTTGGGCCGGGAGCGTCTGGCGGACGGGACCCGCGGATCTTCGCGGCCATGCCCCTCACGCTGGGTGAGCGCCCACTGTGTGCCCTGCGGGGTGGGCGGAGACTCCTATCCTGGTCTCTTAACCCCTTCTGTCTTCCCAGGACCCTAGCGAAGCTAGTGCACCCAGGAGGTGCACAATAGCGTAATCGTTAATAAATGTGTTAGTAAATGACTGCTGGAGACGTGTTTTAAGCCAGTCAAGTTCCTGGTTCACATGCTGTTTTTTACATCCACTTTTTAATTGTTGTTTTTTGTCTCTGTGTGGTGTTGAGGAAATTACTTGGCCTCTCTGTGCTTCCATTACCTCATCTCAAAAATTCTGGTAAGGGCTGGGAAGGTGGCTCAGTAGTAGAGCGCTTGCTTTGCATGCATGAGGCCCTGGGTTCGATTCCTCAGCAGCACATAAGCAAAAAGAAAAAAAGCCGGAAGTGACGCTGTGGCTCAAGTGGTAGAGTGCTAGCCTTGAGCTGAAGAGCTGAGGGACAGCGCCCAGGCCCAGAGTTCAGGCCCCACGATGGGACCCCCCAAAAAAAAATTCTGGTAAAACGACAGGTCTGATAGGGTTATTGGGAGGAGTGAACTTCTGGGGAAATGCCGGTTGTTGGTTTTGTTGATGGTGAATTCCTTGAAAACTATGAATTCCAAGCTGGGTGGGGTGAGGCATGCCTGTCATCCCTGCATTCAAGAAGCTGAAGCAGCAGGATCTTGTTTTGAGTACAACCTGGGCTACCTAGAGGGTTCTCCCCCCCCCCCCCCCCCGAAAAAAAAAAGTTAATAAATTTACCCAGTGGTTATCTGGGATTCTTGGAAGCTACGTGGACCCCTCAGAAGGTAAACAGTAATGTATACCTTGAGACCTTATTTTTGCATAATCTGCCCCAATCGATTGACCTGTGCTTTGTGTTTGTGTGTCTAGTGTGTGTGTGTGGTATTGGGGTTTGAACTCAGGACCTACTTTTGCTAGGCAGTTATTCTTCTGCTTAAGCTTCAGAGCTTCTTGTGAGCATGTGTCCAATCAGAATTTCCCACGGGGGTAAGGGGATGGGAGGGGAGACATTAAGTTACTTCCAGCTAGAGACATTTTGCTTACAGTAAACAAAAGTAGGTCCAAGACCGTGGTCTTGTAAGCAGGAAGTGGGGCCCCAGTTACAGGCTGAGGACTTCCTTGTAACCTAGGGATCTCTTAAGGGTGGCACTAGTGAGCTTGTCATAGCTACCAGCCGTGGGGGAGGAGAAGACTGAAGTTGGGCACTGGCAGGCTGTTAGGAAATTTATTCTAACAGGTGCCAAGGGTATTGATGCCCAGAGAGTCCCCAGTTTCTGCCTCCTATACAGCTCAACTCTTAGCAATAGAGCAAGTAAGCTTAACACAAGCCTCCTGACTTCGGTTTCCTGCCTTGACCATTCATACCTACAGGTCCCAGGTTTCTCTGGTGTGATGTGGTCTGTCCTCCATCCCTAGACTGAGCCAGGAAAGAGCTGGCAGAACCCAGCCCCTGTCTTCCAGATGGAATGTACATCCTTCCTGCTCTGCTCTGGGTCCTGCAGTCCTTGAGAGCCTAAACTATAGAGCTGACCTTACAAGTTGTCAATGCTATTTTGGAAGCAGTTGGTAAGGTCTGAGAAATCTCCTGTGGTCAGGAGCTGCAAAAGGGATGGTAAAAGGTCAACTTGGGGGCCAGTATGGAAACAGACGCCGCATAGTGGCACACACCTATGATCCCAGCACTCAGGAGGCTAAGGTAGGAGGATTACAAGTTCAAGGCCAGCCTGGGTTACAGAGGGACACCCCTGGCTCAAGGGGGAAAAAATGCTTTTCTTTAAACGTGATATACCTTGCTCCCTTCCTACTTAAGAAGCAGGTATAAACTGTTAAATCCCAGATGATAAACTGAGTTGGAGCTGGGTTCTTTGGCTCATATCAGTGATCCTAGCTACTCAGGAGAGGTGCTGAGATAGGCCATGTCTCACCTCTGTGCACTAGCTCCATAACGCCTCTAGCAGGAATAGATCGCTTTCCTGCCAAGTGCCATATTTTCTACCCTATGTATTCATTTCTCCTTTTTGAAGATGTTGGATTCGAACCCAAGGCCTTGGCTCTGGATAGAGCCAAGACCTTGAGCTTTACCGTCCGAACCACGCCCTCTCCAAAGTCAAAACAACGTCCTCGGCTCCGCCCTCACCCTGGCGGGTGTAAAGAAAACTTGACCAATCCAAGTACTTGCTTATCTGTAGTTTAGGATTTCACTCGAGCAGAACACGTGACTGTTGCACTAATCTGAGATCTGGGATCTTTGCCCCAGGCAAAGGAAGAGAGGAGAAAAATAGAAAAAATCCGGGGAGATCTTTGCCCCCAGAACGCGCGCGCGCGCGCTCCCTCCGAACAGGGAGACGGCCCGAAACGCTGGGAAATCAGGCAGCAGCGAGCCCAGCCCGGCCTCGGGTCCTCAGCGCGGCAAGTGCGGGGGCGGAGCCTACCTTCCTATTGGCCCAAGCGTGAGGGCGTGGTCAGGATTCCGTCCAGCCCCCAGTTCCTCACCGGGTTAAATGGGCCTTACGTCCGACTCCCGGAATTATTCGTCGATGGGCGGGGCTAGGTTTGTTTACACGCCGCCATTGGCTGGATTTGAATCGGGCCGACTGCGGGTGGGTCGCGGGGCGGGGCTTCAGAGGGCAGGGCCAGCGTCTGACAGCTCTAGGGACGCTGAGCCATGCCAGTACACTGTGACCTTGGAGATGGAGGCGCCCCCCCCCCTCCGATATCGGGAGCAAACGGGGGTTCTCACCTGTTTACTGATAGACACCAAAGGAAACGGGGTGAGAGACAACCACCCACGGGGTTAATCATTGAATAACCTGGTCCACTCCCCAAGGGGGACAAGTTGTGGCTTTAAGAAGCTGTGAGGGCGGGCGCTGTTGGCTCACACCTATAATCCTAGCTATTCAGGAGGCTGAGATCTGAGGATCACAGTTCAAAGCCAGCCAGGGCCGGAAAGTCCATGATCACGACATTTGATCAATCTCTAATTAACCACCAGAAAACCAGAAGTGGCACTGTGGTAGAGTGCTGGCCTTGAGCAAAAAAGCTCAGGGACAGCGCTCAGGCCCTGAGTTCAAGCCCTACAACCGAAAAAAAAGCAGCTGCAAAGGCACCAATGGCTCAAGCCTGTAATCCTAGCTACTCAGGAGGCTGAGATTGGAGGAGTGTGGTTTGAAGCCAGCCTAACCCAGGAAAGTCTTTGAGAATTTTATCTCCAGCTATCCACCATAAAGCAGGAAGTGGAGCTGTGACTCAAGTGCTACACCACTAGCCTTGAATGAAAAGCTCAGGGACAGCACCCAGGCCCTGAGTTCAAGTCCAGCGTGCACACACACACACACACACACACACACACACACACACAAATGACAAGGTTCACAACATTACCAGCTACAGGACCATTCACACAGATTTCTCACCTCCTGCCCAATTCTCCCTCTATTTCAACCTAATACTTATATCTGTATCCTGGAAGATGGATTGAATTCATTTTTCCATGGCATAACTTTGCCCCTTGTAATAAATCTTTGTCATGGTATACTGACTGGACTTCACATGTGGAACCCCTAGAGTTTGCACAGGGCTCTAAGTATCATAATTATACATGTTCTATAATTCTACATATCCAAACTCTATTCCTCTCAAGAACTCTGACTTATATGGTCTGGCAGAGGGGAGAAAGAGATGGATGATTGAAGAGAGGAGAAGGAGGAATGACACAGAAATGTAGGAGGAAGGAAGTAGGAGGTAGGTGCCCCCAATGCTTGAGACAGGATGATCTCAGGAGCTGGGGACCAAAGAGGCTCATCTTAGAAGTAGCAAAGAAAGAGCAGAATAGACAAAAAAGAGCTGGAAGTGGTGCTGTGGCTCAAGTGGTAGAGCGCTCTCCTTGAGGTGACGAGCACAAGGAGAGCGCCCAAGCCCAGAGTTCAAGCCCCACAACTGACAAAAAAAAAAAAAAAAAGAGCAGAATAGAGAGCTTGACTTTAGGGATAGGTGACAGGAGTTCCT